CCATTTGAACTAACAGTACATGTGATCACCCTTAAGGACCTTCGCTGGCATTGTTCCTGCATAGCCTTTTCTATACATCAGTTTAGTGCTTGTGCACTCATTGTGATGACATCATTCAAATGTTTTGTTGGACAAAATTCTTGGTTTTCATGCGACGTCATCAAAAAACTAAAATCCAAAGTATTCACTCCTCAAAACTGTTTGTCAAATATTTTGTTCATAGCATTCTAAGACAAGTCTGTTTAACTTCATTCTATTCTTCTAGCATTGTCTTTCATTACAGGATATATATCCAATCTCCTGAGTGCTATACAAACTTACCCTTGAACACCATATAGTTCACAAACACTAGGATACTTGGTGCAGTCAACTCCAGCAAAAGCAATCTACAGGATATGCAATATCAGTTATTAGTATAATTATACAGCTTCTCATTAATCCCATATAGGTAACTGTCCAATTATTTTCTTAATTGGACAGGTCTTGTTGATATGGGATTAATTAGGCAGCTATATAATTAATAGGTAATGGGATTTCATGCTCCCCAATCAAGAAATAATTAGACTCAAAAAATTCCTCTGACTTCCAAATTGGACTCAGCCTACGGCCTCATCCAATTTTGTCAGTCCTCGGAATTTTCCTCATCCAATTATTTCTTAATTGGACAGCATGGAGTCCTATTACATATACTAATTTTTACACAAGTTAATATAATATATCGGGCGTGCTCATTGGTCACAATTTACGTCTTATGCTGCTGCGTTCACATACATTTGCTTATAAGAGCAAAGGAATTGGCAAAGTTGCTGCTGCGTTCACATACAGGTGAATATGACTAGCGATTGCACACGCTTGTTTGTCGCTTTGTGCCACTTGCAGATATAAAAAAATTTGATAAGACAAAACAACTCTCTCTCTGTTATTTATTAAATTCACTTGTGTTAGAAATACTAAAACAATTATTTGCCTCAGGCTCTGTAATACTTGGGAATATTTAACTCACCACTTGGAGACTCAGGTCTTGGTAAATATTCCCCGATATTCACTTGGCCTTCAGCGAATAATATTGTTAATTAATCCTGGATCTATGTTCAATTCCTGTACTTGACATCGTTTGAGTAAAGTTTGGTGGGCCTCTCCCTTGAATAATCAAGGGTTTCTCCCGATTCATTCTGTGGTTTTCCTCCCTCCACAAAGCTCAATGCTTTAAATTCCAATTCCATCTGTGAGAACTTTGATTGGCCTGAAGGTTGTTTCAGGATTAAGGGTAACTGTTAGTTTAGGGATGCATTATGAACAATAAGTTTTAGTAATTATAAACTTTGAGAGCAACCAAATAAAACAAACCTTGTTGTTATCCTTATGGTGTTCAGCAGCAGTAACAATTTCAGGTTTGGCATTTTTGCAGTGACCACACCCTGTATAAGAGACCATTTCGATATAAAAACACTCACAGCATTCATAGTCCCCTTTAAATAGTCCCTGCTCCTTCTTGAAAGGTAACAGTGCCTGTGCGAGAACAGTAGTGACCTTGCAATGACAGGGACAAGTAAATAATTGTGCAAGGTGTTTTTAAAAAAGGTTTATATCAATGCAAATTCACTGTGGTTCTCAACAGGCACTGTTACCTTTGAAGATGGTGCAGGGAATGGAATGAGCATAATAACACATAACAATGAGCAGTCATTTATCATGATTTTTGACACAAACAGACATATATCACATATTCTTAAATCACTTACATGGGGCATAAAACATCACAAACACATGCTTCTTCTTCTTGAGGAAGCCTTTGAAGTTTTCATCAGTTAAATGATGAACGTCTTTGGCAACATCACTCCATTCTGGTTCAGGAGGGGGTGGCGGTGGAGGCTCTTTGGGACTAAAATGAAAAAATGCATGAATCTGATGAAATATTGTTTTTATTTTGCAGCTCTTCTACTCAATTGTAAATAGATGCATACGATATTAACTTACTCTTTCATAAAAGACACAATCCTGTCAGCTTTTCTCTCGTTGACGTCAAATTCCAATTTTCCATCCCTGTGTAATATGAAAGAAGATTAATACACACACAACTGCTGATGCATCTTAAGTTTTAAAGCTAAAAGAACCAAAAAATATTAACTAATACAAAGTGCAGTTACCRTTGATGACTTCTCATCCAACTACTCCATTGTAACAAAATGCCTTTCTTTATATATTGACTACGTTTTTACAAGCAATAGGAGCCCAATTTATGTTAATTTCAGGGTTCAACCATTCCCAAGTGGGTCTCTCCCACGTTTTTGTCATGCAGGCTCTCCTAACCATAACATCTTTGACACAGTTAACCCATTTACATCCAACGTATACTAAACACCAAGACTGTTATTACAGTAAAAAATTCTGTTGCAACTTGTCTTGCATAGAAAAGGTAAGACCAAAAATCAGAAAACACAAGAAAGAGGGTATGTTACATGCAGGCAGTAAAATTAAATTTTACTGCAAGGCAAGTTGCACAAGAAATCATCACAACCATAACAAACAGGGTAAGAAATAAATCCGACCTTAGTAAATAGTTTCGCCCTGTAGGTAAGATAAGTTACGATGAGTGCTCTTGGACCGATTGCACTCATCATAAGTGCCAGCTATTGTAACGCACTTATGGTAACCTGTTTTGGAGAGATCAAATTTCGCTTGCACTGACTGTGAGTGCAAAGTCACATAACTAGGTTATGGTTAGTGCATTTCAGAACCATTTCCACTTACCATACGTGCTTTTTTAATAAAATTCGCTTGACTCCCTCATTAGCACAACTTCGGATGACGGGATCCTATATTACTTTTATAATAGCGCATGACTCCCTCATTAGCACAACTTCGGATGACGGGATCCTATATTACTTTTATAATAGCGCATTTAACACATTTGAGATCGGTCCACGAGCAAAGTTTAACTCGGATAAACAAGTAAATATATTTTGGCAAATACATTTTCAAATAAATGATCGTTCAACATAGATCATTTAAGAAAACTTTGACATCTTGTTTACCTGGGAAATAACGATATTAAATAAGACTTGCACGATTGTGATATTTAACTTTCAGAGGACATTATTATCACGGCAGCAATCATAAGAGTAAAAATTTGATGATTGTCAGAAATTCTTATGGTCGGTGACTCTCTGTTAGACTTTGTGAGATATTTTGCTTTGTCTTCAGCACTTACCGGCGGTCACGTTCTCACATTGCACTGACGGTATTGCTTGAATTCGTCTCCAATTGATAACTTGGTAACATCATTTTTGGTTTCATCCTTAAATCAGTCACTCATTTTGGCGACAAAAAATCAATAGCTTTCRTCGGAAAGACTTAATTCCAGATTTTCCCGTGAAAGTAACCRAACTGCTTTAGTGTTGAGGAAACAATTCTTAATCGAAAAATCCACAACAGTGAACTCTGAACTCCTCGTAAATCAGTTTTGTGTTTACAACACACGGTAACAGGAAACCGATCACATTAGCACCACTGACAGCATTAAGGCGGAATGTCAAGCGGCTGTCAGGACTGACAGCATGATCTTTGGTATCTTTGCTTTGCTTCTCTTTGCTTTTCCTTTTAGGATCACAAAGCAACATGGAAAGTCCCAGTATTAAAAAAACAGTTAAAGGCTAGTTGTAAAYGCACTTGTAAATAACAAAAGATATAATGGCAAACCGTTTCAGAGGACTTTATATGTTTGATTTTTGTATGGTCTCATTGCAAGTACGCTTCGCTGGTCCTCGCTCAAGCCATACTTGATAGTTAGTTTATAAAAAGAGGTCGAAACCATCTCTGGCCCTCATGGCATTTGCAAATAAAGCAGTTTCTGCTGGTTTTTTCCTCAGCCATTTCGGCGGAAAATGCTTTGAAATTATTATCGTTGTTGACCGTCTTCAAAAGCGTTAATTTAGCTAAAAGCATAGTTACTGTATAGTTTCTTTTCAGTCAGTTGTCGACGTAAAATAAACTAACCACAAATAAATATGTACTATTACGACGATATATTATGAAACATTTGCACGTTAGCGTTAGYGATACATAGCTAATTAACATGATCCGGTCCGTGATCAAATTTCACYGCAACTCACTATCGCGCCAAGAACCATATACTACGTGACAATGGATCACCTACAGCTAGCTTTTGCTTTATTGCTAAAAAATTCTTGCAAGGAAAGATTATTGATACAAAATATGCTGGTGTTTTAATCTTATGATTGAATTGATTTTTGTTGTTGCTCCAAATGGCGTGAAAGTTCGACATTGCGTGAGATGGAGGAGGAAATAAGGAAACAAGATAAAATACTAATGGCGCACGGAAATGCCGGTAGCTTTTATACTTATTAAAGAAAGTAAAGTAAGGGACTAGATACCGTACGAGTATTTTTGAAGCGTTMATAACTTGGAGAAGCCTTTTAAAAGGCAAATAGAAAATTCTCAGGTTGCGCCCGTTCGAAGACTATGTTAATTTCCTTCGCATTGAGTTAGTTTTTTTCCCGCCTAGTGATTATTATYATAAAGCAGGGTTATCAAGGTTACCAGAACACTTCTCATGTTTGTCATCTCTAACGTCTAAAATTACCTGATATACAAATTCTACTCAAATTATGCGTCTTTGACAGGCTTTTAGCAGAAAATGCGTAAGTGGCATCTAAAGGGATTTTTTGCGCAGAATGTGCTAATGGCCCGTACTTTAAGTAGAACATGCTTATATTCCCGGTTTTTACGCTTGACGGATTTGTTTTGACACTACGGATTTTCACTGACAGTTGCTCATTATTATTTCGCAGGTAAAGAAGACGTCAAAGTTTTCTCAAATAATCTAGGTTGAACGATCATTTATTTGAAATGTATTTGCCAAAATGTATTTGCTCGTTTATCCGAGTTAAACTTTGCTCGTGGACCGATCTCAAATGTGTTAAATGCGCTATTATAAAAGTAATATAGGATCCCRTCATCCGAAGTTTGTATTTTCTAAGTATTAAATTAACTATTCTAATTCCAAAGTTGTGCTAATGAGGGAGTCAAGCGAATTTTATTAAAAAAGCACGTATGGTAAGTGGAAATGGTTCTGAAATGCACTAACCATAACCTAGTTATGTGACTTTGCACTCACAGTCAGTGCAAGCGAAATTTGATCTCTCCAAAACAGGTTACCATAARTGCGTTACAATAGCTGGCACTTATGATGAGTGCAATCGGTCCAAGAGCACTCATCGTAACTTATCTTACCTACAGGGCGAAACTATTTACTAAGGTCGGATTTATTTCTTACCCTGTTAACAGAGCATTTAGTAATGAGAGAACTTACTTGAAATATTTCACTGAAAAGAAATAAAAGTAAAAAACAAATTAGGAATACACAACATAAAAATTGAATGGCAAAAGACAAGGACAGCAAGTTAGTGTTTAGAGTACTATGTAATGGTTAACAAGAACCACTGTGGAAAGTTAAATTGGTATGATGTATTTGATTAATATGGTAGTTTCTTGCCTATCAAAGTGCCCCTAATGCCTGAGACAATACTTTCAGTGTTGATATATGAAGTGAATGGTTAAATGGTGAAATATTTCTTCAGTTGAGTGTTGCGTCTTTAAGTTATAAAGGTTTACACTTTTGGTTGTGACATCATCTGGGTATTTGGGTGGATTTGTTCTAACCTGTAATACTAAACACAGGCCATTATTATGAGACACCACATTTACAATAAACATTGTGTAAACCATGAGTATTATTTTGATATTTATTAAATACTTTTTTGCTTGAACAAGTTGGAATTTCTATTTTTAATTAATACCCAGATGATGTCCGAGCCAAAAGTATTAACCTCTATATCTTCAAGATGCATCACTCAAATTATATGAAATAATGTTTTATCATTCAACTATTCCCTTCATGTAGAATTAATACTTATAAACGTAGTGACTCAGGTATTTGGGGCACTTTTACCTATTGCAATGTTTTGTCTTCATCAGCAAGTATGACCAGACCTTAAAATACCGGCTGGGCATCAAACAATTTCAGGCTAGAATCTGAACCTGTCTGGTCAATTTGACCAGTAACGTTGATCCAGAAAAGGTGTATAATTTAAGATGGAGCTAAAATGAATTTGCCTTGTCCTCACTACCAGGGAATGACAGGCTATTATTTTAAGCCCTAAGTAGAAATGAAAACAGTTTTCTAGGTCTAGGGTAAGGTGCAGCCTTACCAGATGGATAGCCTTCAATTTTGAATTTCTTGCCCAGTGCTACCTCCTTTGTTGCATCAACTGCAGCAAGGACACCTTTAACCTAAACAAGGAAAATCACCGTTATATAATAAAAAATTCTAAAGAAAGCTTTCTGGAGTGAATCATCCTGTTGCATCTTTTTATATGTTACTACCTGAAACATTTATGTACAAAGTATATAACACAATATTTTTTAGTAATTTATGATTTCTATTATTATGGTATTGAAATAAAGGTGAAAAAGCAACCAAATGACAATATTTTCTCAGGTGGTAGCATAGTTAAAGCTATATGTTACCCCTTCATCCTTGAGGGTCTTGGCAGCGTCTACATACTCAGGCTTCATCTGCTTACAGTGACCACACCCTGTAATTTTGAATAATATGTTATAAACCAATCAATAATGTGCATSTACATAAGGAAGATATTGACCAGGAAGACATTGACCAGGTTGTAGTTATATTACAAGAAACCAATACCATATTTTTCCCCTCATGGTCAAAAAAGTTGGGGTTCATGTCACACTGTCCCTAAGAATATATAAAATATTGCTTCCAATGAAACCAAATTATTTAAGCATGCATGGGTATTTTCTCTCTCTCAATGTAATATACATTTAAGGACATCTGTGGACATTGCTCGCACACATCCTAATTCTTCACAAGTTTAAAGGACACTCATTCCTCCTCATGATGACATCATTATTTTTGTTATCACCACTTGATAACTAGTCATGTAGCTCACCACAGGTCCCAAAATGATTGACTTCTAAGTCATTTTGTTTGTACAGCATTGCACAGTGACCTCCTTCTTTGTTTCCTTTTATGTGTTGTATATTGTTTTGTCAACTTGCAAAGTTTCAGGAAATTGACATTTACTTCGCATTTTCCTGCGAACRTCCTTAACTTGACTTACATGGAGCATAAAACATGACAAGAACAGATGGGTTGTTTTCCATAAATCCATCAAAAGTGTCATCTTTCAAGTGAACCACATCACTTGGGACATCACTCCACTCCTCTTCCTTGTCCTGTGGAGGCGGGGCTGTGGGGCTGAAGGAGAAACAGATCACATATTTGGTCAATGCTACTACCTAAAGGGACTAAATAAGAAAATAGGCTGGAGGCTGGAGGAGTTTTATGACTAGTATTGTTTAGTTCCAGAAATTATCAATAATCCCATGGAGGATTTTTCTTTAAGATCTCCTCCCCCACCCCTGGAAATTCACATTTTTTTCCATACAAAGTCTGTAATTTCTATTCTTTCTCTGACCCCCCCTTTCGGAATTTCCAAATTTCTCTCYGGGATGTTTATTCTCTACTTTCACATCCCCATAATGCCTTGCGTCTTTTGGGGTAACCAATCAAAAAACTGTCCCAAATTGAAAGGTTTCTTAATTGAATTTATACTATACCTGCTTTTATCTGTACAGTACTGATTATCAGTTTATTCCAAGTTATTTTTGCGTGTACAGATCATCAAGAGTTTTGGTCTTACAGAAAATGTATTGACTTACGAAACATTTTTTAAGATTTACCTTAAACGTCTTCAAGCTTCTATCTTTTTCCGTTTTTTACTTCTTCATTTTATTTTTGGATACCAAACAAGGTATTGTCAACATTGTTGCCCCCCAAAGACGCAAAGTATTATGGGGATGTGAAAGTAGAGAATGAATAATATCTTCAACTACACATCCTTACTTTTTCATCCACTCAATGAGAGCTTCCTTTTCATATTTGCCAGAATATCTAAACTTTTCATCTCCTTTCCTGGTAATTTAAAAGACAGCAAGTAAACAGCAGGCCTTAGATGCTTTACATATATAACTGCACACATAGCATGCACATTCATTTTCTATTCCACAATTACTGATTTATTGGGTGAATACTACTTGATTCAGGGATGTAGAGTGCAAAATTTTTATGTGGTGAGGGGGGGGGGGGACTAAAATGAAAGATAGATTATGAAAAGAAAGATTTATGCATGTGCCTGCTGATATGCAAAGTGCTTGATCCTAGCATACATGTAAAAGAATTTAGTTTAAAATTGTGAGTATTTTAGCAATATTACAAATGTGAAATTCAAAAAATCATTTCTCACAAAGTCGAACCCCCTGGCTCCTATGTCCCAGTGATACTCAGCTGACAGAATGACCGGCATACTCTTAACACACTCTCAGGTGACGATTGGGGATGATTGCAACAACAAACTCCAATATATCCCTTTTATATAACTTTCTGTAATTAAGTGAACTGATAAATTTCTCTACTCTGGTAAAATGTCTGAGTGGTTGAAGTTGGTAATTGTTTGGATAAAAGAGAGCCAATAACATATCCACCCCATATTGGTCCATTAGAATATTGTATAATCATATAAATACATTTCAACAAGCCTTACTCAAAGTAGATAATTGTTGGGAATCCAGTGATGTTGTACTTCATGCGTGTACTATATCCTTCTTCGGTGTCTACATCCATACCAGCTAGCACCTAGTGTAACAAACAAGACATTCTTTCACAAATTTCAAACAGACATTAATGTCCCCCCTCCCAAAACATCTAATGAAACTAAGATTCTTGTTTAGTCATTCTTTTATGTAAGGTTCTGGGTTTGAACCCCGGGGGGGGGGGGGTACTCCCATGTATGGACTATACAGGGATGATCTGCTGAACAGGGTATGGTTTTTCTGGCTTCTTGTTCTTCTTGCAATTTCACTCAAGTTCCAAGTTCTTCCTGAGTTTCCTGTCATATT